GATTCTGATAGAGCTAAAGTGAATGAAGAATAATTAGATGTGTGCCCCCAGCCCCCCCCCCCCTCCCCTGGAGTGGCCACTATTCACATCAGAGCTGCCAACAGGCCACTTTTTTTCAGTCTGGCCTGGCCTGCAGGTCAAACCATACGAACTAATGTTTCAGACTTTTTATTATTATGAAATTTACAAATTAGCATTAATCCGTTGTATACATTTCGATTTGTGATCGGATTTGTTTTCATGAGAGCAATAGAATCTAGTATGCCAATTCTCAACGAAGAGCATTCATGAATCAATTTTAAGATCGGTTTTATGAAAATCTTTGACACATGAATATAGGCCTGAGTTCTGAAATGAAACACTTTCAAACATGTAATCAATCAAGTAGATGTTGAAATTTAGAAATTTATGTGGAGATATTTGAATTTTTTTTGAATAAAGTTATAACTGTGTAGATATGGAAAGTATCGATTATCTTGAATACTTGCTGATATGTAAGATTATCTTCAATCTCAAATACGTACGAATGAGAACTTTTCAACATTAACTTAAAACCTTCTACTAATCTTACGGTTTGATGACTTTTATTCACACGATAATTTTACGAGTGGACAGAACTTAATTCTCCATCATTTTCATTAAACGAAACTCTGAATCCGATTCTAGTTTAGACCAGCTCTTGGAACCATGAAACTCTTTAACCGAGTAACGCGATCTTCCTTAGTATAGGATTGAATAAGAAGAATTTTTTAAAACAGTTTTGGCACAAAAAGTGCTAGAAATAATTGTAGCTGTGCATTATCAAAGGAAAAACTTCAAAAAAAGACTGGAAAATTCTAAATGTTCGAGAACTGAAAGTTAATAGGAACAAACACGGTCAAAAAACCTTATAAAACGTATAAAAACATTGATTTGACTTGATGATCAATAGAAAATAGCAGAGGCAATCATCATCGACTCATGAAGTCGTCTTATTCTTAGAATTGAATACTGTAAATGTTAGTATTAAATCATACCCAGGCTAAGAACTTTAGCCTGTCCTGCAGACCAGGTCAAAAATTTTCTAGCCTGATCAGGCCAGGCTAGCAGCTCTGATTCATATCACCCATGAAGAATTAATTACAGGAGATGAAATAAAGTAAAAAGTTGATAAAAACATGCTTTTGTCTTAAATGTTATTCAACTTCATTCGTCTGATACATTTCTTCGTATTATTTTCTTCAATTGTTGATTATTGTTTTATTATTATACTGTAAACATCGTTTTCTGTTCTGCATGTTACGAAATAATACTTTAGATAATAAGTAAAGAATTGCTGCAATAGTATCTTATCTTTCACAATTTTTTTCGGATAAAAAAATGAGTCATTTAAAATTACGAAAGTTTCTTCAGATTTCATGTTTATCTTTCGCAACTTTTTTTACTATTTAAATGCATTATGATTAGTAAATGATAGCTTCAAATTAAAATCATACCAATATGCGATACAGTGCAGCCTATTTACTTGCTGTTCTTGGTGGCAATCCATCACCTGATGCTGCTGCAATTGCTAAAATTTTGGGTAGTGTCGGAATTGAATATGATGAAATACGTGCCCAAAGAGTAGTAGATGCTTGTAAAGGTAAAGATGTCAATGAGATTATTGCTGAAGGCTTGAAAAAAATTGATACTATTGCATCGACAAATGTATCTATGGTAACTACCAGTAACCAAACACTTGTTCATACAGTACAATCAAATCCAATAGCTATATCAGACAATGTTGAACCAATTGATATCAGTCCGCCTTCACCTTCTGGCAGTGACACATTTGTGAGTTCTCTTTTTTATATCATAGTTTTTATTTTGATTAATATATGTTTATTTATTTTTAACAGATTGGCTCAAGGGGAAAAAAGCGGATCCTGGTGGATCCTGTGGATCCTACTGGATCCTGGTGGATCCTGGTGGATCTTACTGGATCCTGGTGGATCCTACTGGATCCTATTGGATCCTGGTGGATCCTATTGGATCCTGGTGGATCCTATTGGATCCTGGTGGATCCTGATGGATCCTAATGGATCCTAGTGGATCCTGACGGAACCTGATGAATTGTAGAATAAATTATTTCAAGCGTACAGAAACGAGGATGGAAAAGTTGATCTTAATGGATATNATTGATTTTAACAGTGATGAAATATATCTACAGAAAGAATAATCAAACTCAGAAGGCTTCTCTATCAGAAAAAAAATCATTTAAGCATCAAGAAGCTTAGAAATGACTTTCCGAATTTTTTCCGAATTTTTCCGAATTCAAGCAAAAAAATTCCGATTTCTAAGATTTTGATCTGGCAACCCTGATCACATCATAATGAATGAGCAAAGTAAAACAGATAAATTGAATATTGTTTATCAACATTTCTTAGCAAACAATTTTAATCTAACATTATTAAAATTCATTAGCTAAACGAGTATTTACTGTATTGCATTTTGTGCATTGGCAGGAATTCATGGAACAATAGGTAGGTTTTCACTCTTTTAATTTGCAATTTTTTTCACGAATTTTATTCGCTTCTGGAATATGATGAATCGTGCACATGCGAAAACTATTTACTGTTGTTAATATCAATAGTATAGCAATGATACAAAACACTCTGAATAACTAATGTACTCTTCTATGTTCGTAGGATTTTGAATGATACCCATAGAAGTTTGTCTCTTTTTATAAAGAGAGATGGAGTATGTACACATAGAAGCATGAAAGACGACATAGAGGAACCAAAACGAAAAATTCTTTCACACTCATGATGATTGAAAATTTCCTCACCAAGCAACATGCGCTGGTTGTACTTGCTGTTTTTGAATTTTCTATTACATGGTACTGAGTGATTAAATCGGCAATGTAAAATAAGAGTAGGATAGAGAGAATGACATATTTTTGCTTGGTACATACTTATTTCAATCAGCAATATTTATTGGATGTGATATTTATAGTTAAAACATTTTTTGTTCAATTCTCTTTACAGCCTGCATCAAAGATTTTTTAAAGAAAACGAAACGAATACGTCAAAACAAGAACATTCAACCACATAAAAGAGTTAGTTTTCTCAATCATTTTCTAATTGTATTTGAATATCTACGAACAACAGACACATCCACAAATATCCTCAAAATAGAGTATAATACCCTTAGTAGTTATACTATCCATCCTAAGTTCTAGAATTCATGAAACTTTTAAGAAAATAACTATTAATCATCCAGGTATCGACATGTTCATTAGTTCCACTGCCAGAATTCGACATCGTATTCAGCAACTAGTTGTATCACAAGAAACATTAATCATGATTGCGAGTGTCATATTTTCCCATTACAATTACCAAGAAGTAATGGGTGATACCGCACTTACTAATTACCAATAAGAGGCAAGTGATGAAGATTTCGATGTAACAATAAATAGCCAATGATTAAGTCAACCATTTATTACTGTTATATAGATAATTTTTCCATCATCAAAGTACTTATTGTTACTTTGGAAAGTCGAAGTAAAAGTAACCGTAAGCGTAATATTCCTAACCATGATATATCGAAGTTTTCTTCCAGCTACAACTCGATGAATATATTACACTAACAAGATAAAAAATTATTGTTTTATTAATATCTATATTGATGCGAAGACTAACTGAAGTTCTTACTTTGGAATCGAAAAAGTGAAAAATTGATACAATAGGCCATGATAGTGTCACTAAAGTTTCTCATCCATAATAAAAGTTATGGATCTCAAACTTTGTAATTATTTAGTATTTAATTAGTGCAATAATTTGCCAAAATTTTGAAGAGTTTGTTGTTCTTGAATGCAAGAGCATTGTGTTTTAAAACCGTTTCAAAACTTTCAGAACACCTCTTATATTTAGACAGGCAAAATCATCAGAACAAGAGATTTTTAGTTTTCTAACTTTATTTTCATCTTTTTTATATAGTTCTTGAATTGTTGTATCTGCCCATACCTATGCATTTTGCTGGGCTCTATCCGAATATCAACTTGAAATTCTTTCAAGCTATTTTGTTTTCATACGAATAAATTTACTTAACTCGATACTGGTTTTCTCACTAAAATGATGGAGCACGATTTGTTTCTCATAATCCATTGCAACACTATAGAAGCCAAAGTGCTTTATACAATGAATTATTTTTTATTACAGCTTCTATTTGAGCCGGGTGGAAATTGAGTAACTTCCCAGTCATACCGAAAAGGAGAGAAGTCGTTTCACGATGAAATCGACCCCTTTTGAAATTGATTTTCATATTTTCCCAATAATTAATTTAAATGGCAGTAGTCGATTGTCGTTCGAATTAAACTGTTAGACTTCATTCTAGCTGTGAATGGCTGACTCAAAACTCAATATTATCTACCTTCGATAGAATTATGGTGCATAATATTCATATGAAATGGTTTTATTCCGCCTTCTGCTATTTCAACTTGTATTATATATTAAATGAAAACTTTCTCTGTCCACTATCCGATAGTATATAAGAGTATGAGAAAATGTTAGTCTTTTTTGTTTTTCTTGACATAACATGATTCACTAGCACATAAAGTATGATGACAACCATGGTAAATCTCCCTTCCTGCAGAACTATGACAGCAGACATCCGCTTTAAATTATATACCATTCGATAGCTTGTTCGACGCTCGATAAAACGGTATTAGTACGTCGAGCTTAATTTGTATCTAAGATCTGTTCTTATATTGTATATGAAGAAAACCATATTATCTCAAGAAAAACACAAAGAATAACATTTTCTCATAATCTAATATACTATTGGATAGCAAACAGAAATGATATTTAAGTAATATATAACTCAAGTTGAAAAAAGCAGAAGACGACAGAAAAACATTTTTCATACGAACATCGTGAACCATGATCCCATCACAGATGGATAATATCGATTTTTAAGTCAGCCATCCATAGCTGAAATGAAGTGTAACGGTTAAATTCGAAAAGCAATCGACTTTTGACATCTAAATTAATTATTGGGAAAATATAGAATTCAATTTCAAGAGGAGAATGACTTTATCACTTAACGATCTTCATGTTTTTGAAACGCAGCATTTTTCTCCTCTAATTCTCAGTAGATTTCAATTTTGAAGTGATTGCTAGTAGGAGTACTACAAGCTACATTAGAAATGCTCTTAGAACAGTTCATTTATCGCGAAAATAAAACTGTGTAATTCATTTAATTGAAGTTCACTTTGAGTTCATTTACAATAATCTTGTCGAGAGAAAATTTTCTACAAGTTTGTTATATTTAAGAGTGTGGGTATGGATGATTGTGAGAAAACGAACTACACCCATAGCCAGAGTTACAGTCACGCCCATCGCAACTGCTCTACCCACACATGCACTCATCACATCCACCCTATCTTGTTTTCCTCGTTCATTACATATTCATCTATATCATATATGCAGTTAGTTGTTTTTGATTCTCTTGAAATAAAGATCGTGTGCAGATGCACATCAAGGTACATCTATATCATATGTATTATATCTAAGAACAAACAGAAAAGGAAAGAGGAACCGTAACAAAAACCAACTTACATATTGAGATAATATCAACATCAGTATTGTTTTTCCTGAAATAACGAAAAATATTCGGATGATTTTTTTTCTAGTTTTGCTTTTGTCACATAACTAAGCACATACTTTTTTCGTCAAAAGAAGTTCAAGACAAAGAACATCTCCATCTCAGCGATTATCGATGTCAAACAAAATGAAAAACTAACAGATACATTGAAAGAGTCGTTTGAGGGCGAGAATGGAGCTCAATAGTACATAGACAGCAACCACGAACTTTTTCATTCTGACGAAAGAGTCTCATCGGATGACTCGAAGAATAAATTGAACTACTAGTGTACTAGAATTTTCTATTGTTTTCTTCCTAATAACTCAATTAAAATGAGAAATTACAAATTTTGAATGTTTTTTATGGATAAATTGGTTTGTATCATGATGAATAGAACAAGACAAAATGTACTTCAGTGCACCCACAATCGAGGGGAACAAACTAATTTCAAAAGCAGAAATTAATTTGAAATCATTTGAAATCACCGAAATCACGAAATTAGTTTTTTCCCGCTTGTTTAACAATGGTATCAAAGTTTTTCACATTTCAACGGTATCCTGTACACTAAAGCGTGACTGTTGGCTTGATGAAGAAAAGACTATCACATAACTACATCCTCATTAACGAATCTAAACCGAAAGATGAAGGAAAAGAGATACTATTGGAAAAAAATAACGCTTTTCGAGCCTAATTTTTGTTGTGAAATAATCAAAGATTTTTCGGATAAAGGGTCAAAATTCGTTCGTATTTAAGTCTCCACTGATGCGTTGTCTATGATCATTGCTCTGTCATACGTATATCATGCATAAATCTAATGCCACATTTTCCTAATCATCACTTATGTTTCTGTCATGAACATCTATTAATTTGATACAACTCGAGTTTATTGTTTTTATTTTATCTCATCAATGTTTCGTTTCGACAGATGTTGATCATATCTTTTGCAATATGCGAACGAATTTTCAAACTTTCAATCGATACGACTGATTATGAGAGTCAAAGGAAATGAAGACTTGTATTTTTTAACTATTGAAGAGGTGAAACAAAAATATGACGTTTTATATGATGAAAGCTATTCAAATATTTTCACTCCTTAATTTTGTTAACTTTTGCATTGTACAGAACTTTCGAAATATCTGTAATTATTGGTCAGTAAATGCAAGAGATTTTTTTTTAATCTACTGTCATAATAATGGATTATCTTTTTGTTTCGGTTTGCTTAGGTCTATTCATTGATTTACTTTATAAGCAATCGACGACTTTTAACAGTTATGTAATTGTTGGTTTCTATGGCAGATATCACTGAAATGATCTGACTGTTCGTCGCACGGACGAAGTTTTGGAAGGTTTTATGGAAAATATACTCGCGTGCAATCAATTAATTTTGTACAAAGTGATAACAGTAAGTGACGAAAAATAGTGAGGAATTAGTGTAGTCTCGAAAAAAATTCAATTCTGAATTGAAGAAAAACCTTGACATGTTTACAAAACTCGCAAAAGTTTCTCAACAGGAGTATCTGAATAGACCTTGCTAAAATTTTTCTAAGACTGTGTTTGCAGAAGAAAACTTTCCCTACATATGACTCTTTCAGGTGTGCCCAGGTGAAAGTGCATGAATCCGTTCATGTTGGAACTTGAATCTGAGAATACAACAGTGTGGATATGAGGAGTTGATATTTTCTTCGCTCACTTACATCTACACACAAGCCATCAGACAACGGAGAATAAAATTGAAAAATACGACCAGAACTGAAGAAAGTCAATTTTTTTGAATATGATCCGATATTTTCAAGAATTGTAATCCTCGTCATTGTTTTAGAAGTAAACTAATCTGAGTTAACATTTCAGTTTTCATAACAACTTTTTGTAGGCTTTCGAATGAAATACTCAAATTAAAAGTCAAAAAATAAATTGTACCATTTTAATTTATTTCAATTTATGAAGTAATCGATTTTACTCTGATTTTTTTTGTCAAAATTCCTCACAAAGGTTGTGCACTTCGAAAATTACAACGACCAGAAATTTTTATTATGCGAACCTTTCTGGAAGTTTCATGGAACCAATAAATAAAAGTAGAGTATTTCTTCGGTTCGATGATATTCCTCATCTACACACATAAGACCAAATGTATTATCAACTACATTAAGTGGCATGAGTGTTAATAAAGTGGAGCAGTACAACCAAGAATAGTAACGAATCTAGTCTTTGAAATTGATCAACAAGCATTTTAGCCGTGAAAGGTTTTTTTGTTATATGTGATAGTCTTCAAGAAGTTGCAGTACCTAAAAATGCATGTTACTCTTTCGAGTCAATAAGTCATTTAACTTTTCTCTCATGCTGTCTTTTTAAGCATTAAAATTGCTTGATTTGGTACAACTCGTGATTACTAGGATAATAAATCTTTTACAATGTTCTAACAAAGGACTGCAGCTATTGTGGTTATACTTTTAATAGAACCATTGTGAATTGAGCTGGGCCATGTCATCAAAGCGTGACTCAGTTTCGAAACGTGTAATATACTCATCTCACAAAATATACGACATGTGCTTCATCGGTCATATATTTGGTATCATATATATATGAACTTCAAATTCGATACTATTATTGTCCTTTATACCACATCAATGACAGATTATGCTTTTTTCTAAGTATATATTCACATAGTGAAATGTAACACCATAGCCTATTCTGAGTGTCTTTTTTTCACATAAACATTGGTTCTAATTATCGCATATGTTGTATCCGAATAGTTCATTTGTTCGAATGTAATAATGCAGACAAATATTTAGTAAGTTGTCGAGGTCAGTAAAGCTGCAATCATCTATTTATAAAATCGACTCTAGGATAGCTCTAAATGGCATATTAAATAAATATTCATCTGTTCATACGTCAAAGTTTATGATATAACCGATGGTGATGACAATGCGTGATTTGACTAACAATGAGAGCAACCATTATTGTAATAGTGTTGATTGAATAAGTAAAAAGAAAAAATGACTCGTTTTGCAAATAGCACGACAGAATACATTTCCCAATTGAATTTCTTTTTTCTTTTTCTTTCAGATTAATATTTAGCTTTCTTTGTTTATGGTTTAATATTCTTTTCTGTACCAAGAATACAAAAATGGTAATCTAGAAATTTCCATTGATCAAAAATTACTATCCATATGAAAGTAGGCACAAGAAGTAGGTTTTTAAAAATCGATATAATAAAAACAGTTGTAATTGTTCATATATTAATGTTAGTTAGAGCTATTTGTGCTATTAGCTAGTTGTCAAAAGTGTTTGTAGATTTGTTTCCATAAATATACTAATTTATTTTGATATACTAGTCAATTTCCTTCTATATCATTAAATATCATCATTTACCGTAATTATCAACTTGAGAAAGAAAGAAAGTGAACATTAGACAATAGTCTATATTACCAACGGAAGACAATTGAAGATGATGTGTTGTATAGCTATATAGACATACAAAAGTTAAAGAATTGAGCAGTTATTTGCCAACATTCTACTTCCTTTCGATCTATAGATTAACAATTGAATCACAATTGCGTAAGTAATAAAAAAAAAAGAAAAAGAAAACGAGAACAGTGTCTCACAGATGAACATCACTGTGGAAAGAGAGAAGTAATCAGCATAAAGAACTGCTTCAACTATTGTAATAATGCTTGACCTTATTCTTCATACATTGTTCATGTCATTTTTTTTTTGCTAGAGGAAAAAAAAGATAGACAGACTGTCTTCATTGAGACACTATACAACGTCGGTCATACATGTATATATTTCTTTTCTGTTCTTTTCCTTTTTCGTTGAATTAGAAATGTCTGGAAGAACAATGATTAGATAGAATTTATGATTTGTTTTTCTTTTTCTCAATTGTTCATCTATTCATTTAATGTTAAGTTATTGATAGTGTTTCAATGTCGAATTTAGATGTTCTTGATTATAATCTTATCGAATACAACAATAATTAATCGACGAGTCCAATTACAACAGCTATGCAATCATCATTTCAGTCATGTGGTATATCTGAAGAATCTTATTGTGCACCATGGGATTTAAAAATACAAGAAGAAAAATTAAAATTACTTAATGAACAACGTCAAATATCATCATCAAATACTAATACATCATTAATCGATAATCTACTTCATTCTTCGAACATAAACAATCAATCAACATCTTCATCATTCAGTCGTAATCATACAAATAGGTCATTTCATCAAACTTGTTCAGTACATACATCATCATCAACTACAACAACAAAAAAATCTTTAGTACATCTTGAACTAACACCGCCTGAATTGCCTCCCTTACCACCAGGTGGTTTAATACCATCGTGTCAATGTGGTATTAGCAATAATATTCGAAATAAAAATTCGATTATTGAAAATCTCGATTTATCATTCGAAAAAACCTCCAATTGTCTCATTCCACATGCGATTTGTTCAGGCACAGATACATCACGTAGTTTTTTATTTGCTTTAACATCACCATCTAATAAGCGTAGTAAAAAACTTGATACAACAGCAGCTACAGATGATACTCAATCTATATCAGTTGAAGTATGTTCATTCTTGAGAAGAGATTAGAAAAGTTATTCTATCTTTTCTTCAGGCATCTTTACTTCATTTTAAACATTTAAGTTCATCAATTCAAAATAATTCTTTACATAAGATGCAAACAACGTATGATCAACCATGGGATAAATTACAAACATCTTTTATCAATAATCTTTCATTGAAAAATAATCGTAATGGAGGATCATTACAAAAGATGCCAAATACAGAACAAACAAAACAGTGTTGTTCACCATCGACAAAGTTTTTGACTTCTCCATGTCAACATTTAGAAGATATACGAAAAATTCCCATTGATCGTTATTTGTATGTATTTATTTCAATTTTATAGAAAGATTTTGTTTTTTGTTTTATAACTATATTTATTTAGTTGGTATCATCATGGAATGTCTCGACGGCAAGCTGAATATGTTTTACAATCTCGTCCATCGAGTAGTTTTCTTGTACGTCAAAGTGAAAGTGGAAATCAAAATGATTATTCACTTTCTATTAGGTATAGTTCTGGACTTTTATTTTTAAATGTATATTGTGTGTTTTTTTTTCTTCATTAGAACAATGAAAGGTTGTTTGCATATGCGTATATGCTATTCTGGAGGATTTTATATACTTGGTGAATGTTCAAGACCCTTTTCAAGTGTATCATGTATGATCAAATATTTTAGTCAAACATCTGTACCTATTCGTGGTGCGGTACATATTAAATTAGGTACACCGGTATTGCGATGGGAGATATTAACATCGTCATCATTGTCTAAGGAAGAACTTTTGTAAATTTATTTTCTGGTGATTTTTTTTGCTTTAATATTCAAATGTTAGCATTTGATTATTCATTAAATAAAAATAATTTTTTTTAATATTTAAAAGATATTTTACTCAACGTAAATAGATGTCACGATAAACAAAACAATTTTCAACTTTTTTTTTATTCCTCACAAATAAAGACTAGTAGTTTATGATGAAACCGTCAAGTAGTAAGTAGGAAAGATTAGGCCATTGTAATTTATATTCTCATTAGTTTTGTGAATGTTACATTTACATTCATTGGGTATTGCCAAAATTTTTAATATTGTTGGTCATGTATAATATGGCTGACAACTAACGACACACTTTATGTAAACCTCCTTCTGTTGCTTGACAATCACAATTATTTTAATATTATCAATGGCAAATACAATGCTTCTTCACTTGCTTTTCACATTCAACTGAACGAAAAAAAAAATGTCACGTAACTATAGTGCTTCTCAATTTGAGCAAACATTCGTACCAAAACGTTTGCAAATGTATGAAGTACCGCGAGATCCACAACCAGGCGTGGTTTGTATATGATAAATAAAAATGAATAAATTAACTCTATAAACTTTTATCTTGTAGCATCCTAAAGCAACAATGTCCTTGAATGCAAGTAATTGTATTACTGACAACCAAGGCCATATTTTACCTGGTATTAAAAGATCAGAACGATCTCCATTTGGTGAATTTATTGGAACATGGGATTTACCAAAAAAAATTCCCGGTCCTTATCATGTACATCCAATGGGACGAACAGAAAAAAGTTTCAACTCACTTTGTGCACAACGAGATCAAACCATTAGAGAAATGGAAAAAGCACGCGTTTATGAAGTAGGTTTAATAATAATAAGTTCTTTTTTTGTTTTAATTTGTCTATTTGTATTGTAGAAAGACGAATCATCCAGTTAACAAACTTCATAACGAAAACAAACAATTAATTGAAAAATTTAACAAAAAAAAACTTTTATTTTTTATTTTTTTCTTAAGTTAAATTGCTTTGATTCTTTTCGAATAATATCATCGAAATATATGTATATTATGAAACATTCGAGTTTCATGTATCTAATTAATTTTAAAAAAATCTCTAATACATGGTTCTAAAGTGAAACATTGCTGACGATTTAGTAAAGATCTAAGCATTTATAATGAAAAGAAAATACTCTATGAGTCTTATTGAATGCTAGTTTCGATGTGTATTTGAGTTCATATCTTTCTGCAGCTGTTACGACGTCGAATTCTGACTAAATTGTTTCTGAGCTGTTCACAAGAGACCAACTGAAAAAATAACAGTCATCATTTCTGCATATAAGTTGTGCTTAAAAAGCAGAAAAGGCAATCGAAACCTTGACTTTGATAGGGTGCTTAACAGTACTGATAATTTTCTATTTTCCAACCAAATTCTAGACCAATCATTTGACAAAATTTAGACAATTGATCTTCACCTCAAAAAAGATTACGAGCGCAGTTCGTAGGTTTGTGGTTTTCAATCCATCATTAAGGATTCTCTCGATGAACTTTAGTTTACACTGACATCGACATAGGTCGATTGGATTCTGCTATCGTAACTGTTCTATTGTTGATTATAACTCATTTCTCTTTCAACTGACGTTTTTGACTGCTTTCACTGCTTAACCCAATATGTCTCCATCGTCACGTCGCAATGAATCACTTTCGCTACAGTTGTATGGCTCCACTTCTAATTCAAAGAATGTTGAGATAAAAGAAAAAGAATGAACACTAATTCTGATCAGAATTCTCTCCGGTGCTGACTATTCATACTAATCTTATGAAAATTTGTTACTTAAAATTTCTAGAAAATTCCACTTGGAGGAGACTTGTGTCCTGTATTATATTGTGCATCATAAAAGAAGAAAGTAAATCGTGCTATATTTTTCGTCAACTATATTGTTTTGATCATGATAAAAATGTGGGAATCAATTGGTTAGAAACCAAACACCGAATTGACTTCAATTAGTATCTGTTTGGGCGAGAAAGCTCTTGACAACTTATAATAGATTTTCTAGATACGATCTTTTCGTCTAAGTGCACTATTTAGGATTTATAGATCTGGGATAGTATCATCAAATAATGAGCGATATCTATCGTACAGTTTTTTTTTCAGGGATTCTATTTGTATCATATATACTCCAATCAAATTCAATAGTTTACGAATTTCGTTCTAACTGTTTTTCTCTCCACCATTATATTATATGTTTAGGTATGTTTCGTAATAAAAATAGCTGACGTCACACACATAACAGAATCACTTCTAACTGAATTAGGAAATTATTAAATTTGATCGACATATTAATAATTGTGTCGACGCTTTATCAAAAAGTTTAAGTTTTTGAATTTTATTCTCTGAAATTATACTTTCAACAATGCAACTTTTGAAATCTGTTAGTTGTCGATATTTTTTCTATTCGAAATAGTTACAACAATCAGTTATTAATCTAGAAATTCTTATAAAGTAATGTTTCCAAATATATACATATTTAAAAATACTGTCTCTTGTTTTCATATTCATAAATCAATTCTCTAAACGAATATTTTGTTTTCAATAATTTTTTTTTTCAGACCATAAAAAAGAACAGAACATGCGTCTCGAAACATGTTACTATTGTTCATCGACGGTCTGGCCTGGTCATGGCATACAATTTGTACGAAATGATTGCAAAGTAGAACTATTCTTTGTTTTTTTTTTTCTTATTTTTTAATACTTTTTTGTAACAATAAAACTAGATCTTTCGATTTTGCCGTTCACGTTGTCATCGTGCATTTAAAAAAAAATGGAATCCACGTAAATCACGTTGGACAAAAGCACATAGAAAATTTACTGGTAAAGATTTAGCGACGGATGCAACATTTGAATTTGAAAAACGTCGAGATGAACCAGTTAAATATAAACGTGAATTATGGCAAAATACACGTAAATAAAAAATAAAAATAATTTGAAAAAATAAACCAATGTTTTCTTTATTTCAGTTAATGCTATGAAAAGAGTTGAAGAAATTCGTACTAAACGAGAAAAACATCATATTATGAAACGGTAAAAACATTTGTTTTTTTTTCTATGAAACGAAAACTATCAATGTGGGTTTTGTTTTAGTCTTCAACAAGGTACACTTGATCGAAAGGCGGCTGATTTACGTGAAGTACGCGATTATATTCATCTTGTTCGAGCACCTAATGCAACAAAACCAATGGAAGAAATTGAAATGGTTCAGAAAGCTATTCAAAAACGTGAAGAAGATGGCGAACTTTTAGCTAAAGTTGGTACAACAGTAGCTACAACAAAAAAATTATCGGCGTTACGTCGTCGTGCACCAAAAATTGAAGTTACTATGGAAACATCAGATAATGAACAAATGCTTGAAGAAGATATGGCTTAATCGCTATTTGTTTTGTTGTTATTCTCTTGAAAAAAAAAACAATAAAATATTTATGGATCGTCGTCAAATTGTTTATTAACCGTAGATTTGTAAGGTTATATAAACATGAAAAAGAAAACCGTTTGAATTTATAATTTTGAATTTACATGAAGAAGATCTATTTAAAGGTGTAAAAAAAATCGTATCTATTGGAAGGAAAATAATGCCCTACCTATTTGTCACTTTGTGACATGAGACGCTGCCTGGCGAAAGATTTAATTGCTTGAAATCTTCTCTACAACGATGATTAACTGTAGTCCAGAATAGAAAGCCAATCTGAGGTAGAGTTCTTGCGCTTAATTGCTTGAGTTCATCATACACATTAACTAACTGCAAGATAGGATATGGGGAGTGAGTCCAAGTCTTCTTTCCACTCACAACCTACACTTGCTCTGATTGAACGCTAATTTTTGTCGATGTCGATTGACTGGAAACGTCACCTTAGATACTTGTTTTTTAAAAAATATTTCAGAGCACTTCAGAACTTTCTTAACGAACGATTATATATCTTCTATACGGATAGTTCGAGAAAATTCTAGAGCATTCTTTATCACTTCATCCCAGGAGATTACTTACTAATTTTTATAAATTATGTTGTAAAAAATAGTTATAAAACATGTAGCATTTTTGCTACTTTGAGACTCAAAGAATTAATAAAAGCAATTTCGGACTATGAAGTACAATAAAAACTATTCATTTTAGTACTGGCACAGAAAAATGATACGGAAATATATATCTTAATATGATTCTTACAAGTTTCAGCAGTTTTAGTACACAGGTCAAAGTTGCTGAACCATCGAATCAATATCCAAAAAATGAGCTTCAACAACTGCTGCAGGCATACAATTTCCTAGCAATTCATTAGGCTTTTAATGAATGAAGTGCATGTAGAGTATTAATTGTTGTTCTATGGAATGAGTATTATATAAAGTAAATATTCACAATATATAAATAGGTTTAAAAAAAAGCATTTCAAGATGTGCGAAGCCAGGCGTTAATAGAAATAACAATAATGTCTACTCAAGTGACAAAATATATCAGTCTACTAAACAATGAATTATTTCATAATTGGAAGAATAGAATCGGACAACACTTATTACATACTGGAAAATGTTTAGTTACTTCGTACTATAAACAATGAATGGTATAATACAAAAAAAAGAAAAAAATTAGGCGCTATTTTGATCAATGTGTTATTACCTATGGAGAAAATAGGTATAAAGACTGTTCATTTCTATTAACTTTTTGTCACAACTTAGCAGAATAATATCATGACATTTTTTTTATTCTATATCATATTCATGCATTTCGTTTATTAAACATATACGAACTCTTCGCATCAGAAGCGCTCTCTGCTCCTTTATTAGTTGGTATCTTGAAAAATTGGAACTTTGATCAGTATTTTTACATAGTTGTGAGCTGAAAGTCTCACAAGACTAAGGTCGATACTATTTCTGTGCTTTCAAATTCTTAAAATCATTATCTGAAAAACTTCTGAAATATAAGTTTATGAAAATGCATGGGTCATAATAGAAGAACTCGTGCTCTTCT